GTATAGAGGAAGAGAAGAAGGCCGCGGTGGAAAACCCTTTGAGACGACTATATGGTTTTTGGGCCGAAAGAGCAGCCGAGCATGGGTCAACCGTCCAACTTGGTGGAATTCCTTCATGAATGTTCGGAGGATGATGCACTCGAGCTTGGGGACGAAAAACAACCATTGACCAATCTACGTTATGTCTCATGGAGTTCAAGGATTGCTTCGCTTGGGAACACACCGAGATGCCTAGATTGAGTCGTGACTTGGCCGAGCATTACTTACCAACGGTGGAAGATTTTAAGCCCTTCAAGCAGTCGCCTTATCGGATGTGGGCGAAAGTAGAATTACAAGTTAATGAAGAAATTGTAAGACTTGTGAAAGCCAAATTTATTAGGCCAAATTTGTAAGTTATGATTTCGTGGTTTCCGCTGGGAATTTCATAGGATTATTGGTGCACCAAAGGGGAATTCAAATTGATAAAAATGAGGCTAAGGCTATCATTCGCGCGCCCTATTCAAAAAACAAGGTGTGCAAAGTTTGTTGGGCTAAACTAACTTTCTTTGAAGGTTCATAGCCAACTCAGCGGGAAAAGTTGGGCCTTTCTCATCTTTATTAAAACTCAAAGATGAAGAGAAATTTCGGTGGGAAGAGACTCACCAAAGGGCATTCGACGCCATTAAAGAATATTTGGCCAAGCCTCCGGTGCTCATTTCGCCAAAGCGGGGCAGACCAGTGAAATTATATATTTCGGCCTCGGAGAACTCCATTGGAAGTTTGCTAGCCCGAGGCAAAGATGAGAAGAGCAAGCGGTATATTACCTCAGTCGAATTCTAACGGCCACCAAGAGAGAATACTCGTCGGCGGAGAAACTTGGCTTAGCCTTGTACTTTACCGCAACCAAGTTGAGGCATTACATTTTGTCCTCTGTGTGCATATAATCGCCAAGACTGATTTAAACCAAAATGGTGAGCTCCATTTCTCTCGAATCAATGGTTGATTTTTGGAAAAACATTACCCACCGGTTTGGAAAATGGGGAAGAGATTGTCCGCCGCAAGGAAATATTGTCGTAGTAAAATGATGATTTTTATTGGAAGAATGGGCATCATAAAAATGATCTCTTCCAAAAGATATCATATATATAGATGGGCAAAGTTCACCACAAAATGGGGCCAGGCAATAGCCTAGGCATCCAGCCCGATTCAAAATTTAATAACGTGCAAAGCATGCAAAAAGTCTCAAACTTTAGAAATTGAGAGGTCTCGGGTTTCAACTTGCTTACCTCTACACCAATTCCAAGCTAAGCAAGTCGAGGGGGCAATGTTTGGGCGTGGTGAAAATTCACTCAACCCGGGCACTTTTCGGAAACACGAGCGGCCGGGCTACAGTCTATGTACGCCGAAATAGTTCGAGATTTGGAGAATAGGCGGCCGGGTATTGAATTGCTAATATGCGGCCAGGATACGTGGCTAGGAGAATGGGCAAGGCTGCGTGGCTGAAAGAATGGGCCGGGCTGTGTTCGAGCTTGGCTGGAAAGTGCGGCCGGACCACGTAGCTAGAAGACGTGGCCGAGTTTTGGTGGAGATGCGGCCGGGCTCTCAATTGTAGAGCTGGGCAAAGAAATGCGGCTGGGCACGACCGAAAGAGCTGGGGCCGGATCAAGTTGGGCAACTTCCAAAAATGCAAGCAGCCGGATTAATGCAAAGAATTCCTAGGCGGCAGAGAATTCATGGCGACCGAAGAATACCTAGGCAGCCGAGAATTCATGGCGGCTGAGAATTCCTAGCGGCCGAAGAATACCTAGGCGGATGAGAATTCCTAGCGGCGGGATTCCTAGTGGCTGAAGAATTCCTAGCGGCGGACTTCCTAGCGGCCGAGGTGCTTTCTCAAAAAGGTGGCCGAGGTGCTTTCTCAAAAAGGTGGCCGAGGTACTTTTCTTCAAAGGCCATGGTGCCTTCTCAAAAATGCGGCCGATGTGTTTTCTTCAAAG